AAGTCAAAAGCACATTGATGCTGTCACATCAAGGAGATGAGAAACCGAGAGACAACATGTGGTATCTGGATAATGCAGCAAGCAACCACATGTGCGGTAAAAGAAGCATGTTCGTGGATATGGATGAATCAGTAAAAGGAAATGTCGTATTTGGAGACTCCTCGAAAGTTCCTATAAAAGGGAGAGGAACTATACTCATCCGGCTCAAGAATGGCTCACGGCAATTTATCAGTGATGTGTACTATGTCCCAGACATGACAAGTAACATCCTGAGTTTGGTTCAATTGATGGATAAGAATTATGAAGTCCACATGGTGAATCGTCAATTGGAGCTGCTAAATGAGAAGAGGCAGTTGTTGGCCAGAGTCCCAATGCCGAGAAACAGAATGTTCACCCTGAACATTCAAACTGAAATGGCGAAGTGTTTGAAAGCATGTGTGAAGGACAATACATGGCTATGGCATCTGAGTTATGGCCATCTAAATTTTGGAGGCCTGAAGTTGCTCGGTCAGAAGAAGATGATGCATGGTCTGCCAGTGATCAATCATCCAGGCCAGTTGTGTGAAGGATGCTTAGTTGGAAAGAAATTCCGGACAAGTTTCCCGAAGGAGTCCCTGTCACGAGCTAAAGCACCACTTGAGCTCATCCATACAGATCTTTGTGGACCGATCACACCAACATCATTTGGCAAGAACAAATACTTCCTACTGTTCATTGACGACTACAGTAGAAATACATGGGTATACTTCTTGAAGCAGAAGTCAGACACATTTGAAGCTTTCAAGAAGTTCAAGATGCTCGTGGAGAATGAAAGTGGCCGCCACATCAAAGCAATGAGATCAGATAGAGGTTGAGAATTTATGCTCAAGAAGTTCAAAAAGTTCTGTGAATATCAAGGAATTTGCAGGTTTCTCACAGTCCCAAGATCCCCACAGCAGAATGGAGTCGTTGAGAGGAAGAACAAAACTGTCCTCAACATGGCGAGAAGCATGATGAAGAGCAAGAACCTGCCGAAAGAGCTATGGGCTGAAGCTATTGATTGTGCAGTCTACATGCTGAACAGGTCACCAACAAAGAGTGTTTGGAATCAAACACCCCAAGAAGCATGGAGCGGAAGGAAACCCACAATCTCTCACCTCCGAGTCTTCGGAAGTGTTGGATATGTGCACGTACCTGATCAAGAAAGGAAGAAGTTGGATGACAAAAGCAAGAAGTACATATTCCTGGGATACTCAGAACACTCAAAAGGTTACAAAATGTTTGATCCCGTGGAAGAGAAACTGATCATCAGTAGAGATGTGGTAGTTGATGAAGAAGCAACATGGGACTGGACTACTGAAGCAAAGAAGAGTTATACTTTTTATCCATTCACTATGGATAAAAGTGATGATGAACCAGATACAGCTACACCTGTGACAAGTCCACCTAGTCACAGAGAGCCTGCCAGCCCAGAAGGAGAATCTAGTGAAGGTACCCGAGAAAGGCCACAAAAGTATAGGGACTTGAAGAAATTTATGAGGAAACGACAACCATTGAAGGTGATGAATTGACACTCTATTGTCATTTCATTGATAGTGAACCAGTGGATGTTGAAGAAGCCATGAAGGATGAAAAATGGAAGAAAGCTATGGATGAAGAAATTGGAGCAATTGAGAAGAACAAGACTTGGGAGCTTTTGTCACATCATGAGAATCAGAAGGCCATTGGTGTGAAGTGGGTATTTAAAGCTAAGAAGAATGCAAAAGGAGAAGTTGTCAGGCACAAAGCAAGATTGGTGGCTAAAGGATGTAGTCAGAGACCCGACATTGACTATAATGAAGTTTTTGCTCCCATGGCGAGAATGGAGACTATTACGATGGTGATATCTCTCGCTGCTCAAAATGGATGGAAGATACATCAGATGGATGTGAAGTCAGCTTTTCTGAATGGATATCTCGAGGAAGATATCTATATTGAGCAACCCCCTAGATATATCGTTGAAGGTCAAGAAGATAAGGTGTTGAAGCTGAAGAAAGCATTGTATGGTCTGAAACAAGCACCTAGAGCTTGGAATAGCAGAATTGACAAGTATTTTCAGCAAAATGGGTTCAACAAATGCCCACATGAGCATGCACTATACTGCAAGGTGCAAGGGGGAGCAATATTGATGGTTTGCCTATATGTAGATGATCTCGTCTTTACAGGCAACGATCCTCAAATGTTTGAAGAGTTCAAGAAGACGATGGTTCGTGAGTTCGAGATGAAAGACATCGGACTAATGTCATACTATCTTGGAATTGAAGTAAGTCAAAAGGAGGAAGGAATTTTCATCTCACAGAGTGGTTTTGCCAAGGAAGTCCTGAAAAAGTTTAAGATGGAGAATTGTAATCCTGTAAGCACACCAGCCAAGTGCGGACTAAAGCTATCCAAGGATGATAAAGGAGAGAAGGTCAACTCAACGGAGTTTAGAAGCCTTGTGGGAAGTCTGAGATACATGACTTGTACTAGACCAGATATTCTCTACGCAGTTGGATTAGTCAGCAGATACATGGAGGCACCAACAATGTCACACTAGAATGCTGCCAAGAGGATATTACGCTACATCAAAGGTACAATCGATCATGGTCTTCTTTATACTAAGTCAGAAAATTTCAAATTGGTTGGATACTGCGATAGTGATTGGGCAGGAGACGTGGATGATCGCAAAAGCACTACAGGATTTGTGTTCTTTATGGGAGATACAGCTTTCACATGGAGTTCAAAGAAGCAAGCTATCGTTACATTATCTACTTGTGAAGCTGAGTATGATGCTGCGACATCGTGTGTGTGTCATGCGATATGGCTGAGGAAGTTGCTGAAGGAGTTGAACATGACACATGAAGAGTTAACTGAAATATTTGTGGATAACAAGTCTGCCCTGGCGTTAGCAAAGAATCCAGTGTTTCATGATCGCAGTAAGCATATTGATACGAGGTATCATTTCTTAAGAGAGTGCGTAGAGCAGAAAGAAGTAATGCTAAAGTATGTGAAGACTGCAGACCAGATTGCTTATATTTTCACGAAGCCGTTGAAGCAAGACGTGTTCGTCAAGATGAGTACGCTACTCGGAGTAATGAAGAATTGATTAAACTTTAAGGGGGAGTGTTGAAATTAAATAAAGTTTAATTAAAATATTTATCTGGGAAATATCATAATTGTCTGGATACGTGTATGATGAGTCTTGGAGAAGTTTGTAGAACCCAAATAAATAGGGTTGGTTGTTAGTTGGATTAGATTAAACAAAAAGAAAAAACAGGAACCATATGTCTTAAGTCTGTTCCCTTGATATTTCTGTAAGTGAAGGCCTATAAATAGGCTTGTAAGCTTTGGAGTTTGTGTGCAGAGCCAAGGCAGAGCAAAAGAAAAGAAAGAAGCCAATAAATAAAAGAGCTCCCTTTCTCAAACTCTCTCTGCCACCTAGCCTTCCATCAAAACTTCTCCACTATTTCCAAATTAAAAAAACCCACCAAAACTTCCATTCCCAAACGTGCCCAACAAAATTATCAAAGGAAATAAATTAATTTTATTTCCAACAGTATTATTCAGTTTGGAGTCACGGTTGGAAAGTCGCGGTGGTAAACTTCCTTGTGCAGGTCGTGACATGTACTCGATCGGATGTGGGAAGTGGGATGGTTGAATTTATTTCCTTATTTGCGGACAGTGGTGATTGGTTGATGATTCCCAACCCTAACTGCTGCAAGGATTAGCTATTTATATGTCCTTTGATTGTTCTTCTTGCTCTGCCTCCACAGCTGCGCACTCTCTCAGTTTCTCAACAACCTTGCCTTCTTCTTCTCATTCTTCACTGAAAGTTCCAAAGCACTCGCACTCCTCGATCCCGCTCCCTTAAGATGAATAATTCGACTTGGTAATTTCATAAGCCCTAATTTATGCCTTCTAGGCGACGCATCATGACTCACCTCCTTCTTCCTCTTTGGCAACACCCTGTCGCCGCTCTTCTTCTTCTCAGTCGCTTCATCATAATTTGGTGGCGGTAGGTCATAAACCAAGTGGTCACAATAACTCAAATTATTGGTAGAAGTCCATGTATGCTACTTAACCACTTTTTTATATGCTCTCTCAAACAAAAGCCAACTAATGGGCTTGGAGATTGCGCAAGGCCAACCATACCATGTATGTGCTTTAAGACAATGGTTAATGTTGAGGGTTGTGAGGACTTGAACACGTGACCTCAAGAACAAACAAACTCTGATATCATATCATAAACCAACTGGTTCTAATAACTCGAGTTGTTGAGAGATGTTAATGTATAGTACTTAACCACTTCCTTTATAAAGGAGAGATAAACATGGAAATTTAGCAAAATTATTTTTTATTATTATTTTATAATTGGTACTTAATTTACTTAGAAATCAAAGTTTATGGTTGACTGTTATCTGAGATGATAATAATGGAATTAGACGATGAATGACCAATGGTCAAACAAGGAGTTAAAATCAGTAACTAGTAAGCAAGGAAAATTTTTAAGTGACAAACATAAAATAAATTAAAATACTGAGTGATCAAACTTTGTAATTGATCCAAGTTTACTGTTCAATAACCTATTATAATTGCTCGAATTCCTGTTGAAATATTTCTTATTTTCCTCTTTTTTGAAAGATACGTGAACTTTATGGACAATGGAAAAATATAAGAAACAAAAATAGCGAGGTGCAAGGGCAAAAAATTTACATGTGAGATCTTTGGTAAGTCAGACAGATGTCGATCTCTAAGTATGGCTCGAATAAGCTCTGTTTTTTCCTCTACATAATCTGTACACATGACCTGCATGTACACGGTCGAACATAGAAGAGTGAATATGATATCGGTGTATAGTTGATAGCTTGATATTAAGTAACATTAACTCTATACAGAACGTAACAAGAGAGGTGCATTAATAAGTTAGGGGTCATGTAAAAATTGATTTGAGGGCTAACACCATTGCAACTTTCAAATATACAAAAAATTGTCACTTGTATACTATTTTATTAAATATTTCATTCCTATCCAAAACTATTATTCTGTTAGTATTGATATTGACATTGACCATTAGTATTTAATACAAGTATATAATGGCACAAAAGTATCTTACAATGGAACACGATTGTTATATTAAATAAAACTTGCGGATTAATATATCTAACAGGATACAAATGACATTTCTTTTATAATTCAACTGTTATAATGGTATTAGCCCGTAATTGATGACTTGAGCACTAGAGTAGTGTTACATGCTCATCAACATAAAATGCCCAACTATCTATAATGTCGAAACGATGGAGGACATAAAAGTGCTCTTATAGTGTCAAATCTGAATTTCAAAACTTGATTGACATCATGAACTATTTTTAATTTATGACATATATGCAAATCCTATATATGAATATTATACTTTTCTAAGGACTCAAGTTTTTGTTTTATCACTTAGACCATAAAAAAGCACATCAACAATATATATATATATATTAACAATACTTTGTAAAAATTATCAAATATACCTTTTTAATGAGATATATGAGTAAATACCTACACAAATTATAGCTGAAGTGCATAACCATGGATACTAGGACAGTATTTTTTTAATAGTTTTTATCTCTTACATGCTTCTCAAACGCAAGTTTATTTGTGAGTTTTTTTTGGTAATGTCTACTTTTTATCCAAATTTTTTTCAAATTCTTTTATATTATCCAAACCTATTAAAATGCTATTAATTAGCCAAATTTTTCGTAATGCATTAAAATATTAGCCAATTTTACATTATCGTTAATAATTTTGTAACTTTTTTTATTTAAAATAATAAAATTTTGGAATATTAACCGTCACATGTCTCTTCCAAGTCAATATCATGTTGGGCCAAGTCAATATCTCTAACAAAATTGCTGACGGGAAGTTAACATTTGGCTAATTCTTAATATTTCGTTAGGTTTAGATAATAAAAAAGAATCCGAAAAAGGTTTGACTAATAAATAGTCATTACCCTTTTTTTCACTTTGTACAACCTCAATATATAAACATATCATCTATTGTACGGTCTAAACCATTAGTCTTTCAGTTTGCATATATAGATTGGAAGGATTCAAAATCATGTCGTCATGACCTCTAAATCGAAGGTTTTGATATCATGTTTAACGAACAAACCATTTCGTTCCAATAACTCGAGAGTTGTCGAATAGGGGAAGGAAGGAAGGGGGATACATACGTCAATGAAGTCAGAGAGGAAGTACGTGGGAACCCCCTTGGCAGGCTTAACAAAGGAAAACCGCATCAATTCCTTCAACTTCTCCGGCGTCTGTGGCATCAGAATGCTGGCCGCCTCGTCCAAGTTCCGCACCTTAAACAAACCATCCTCCATGTCCTTCTCCTCCAGGCACACCCCGGCGCAGCACAACACGAGCCGGTCGATCGCGCCGGGGAACTGGGCCGCCATGCTGTAGCCCACGAACCCGCCGTAGCTGATCCCGACGAGGCTGGCCCGCTCCACGCCGTGCGCCCGCAGCATCCGCATCAGGCACTCCGCCTGGAACCCTTCGCTCCTCTCGGCCCGCCGCGTGTGGGACTGCCCGAAGAAGAGCAGGTCTGGAACGTACACGTTGAACCTGGCCGTGAACTGCCGCAGGTGGTCCCCGTATTGCCACATCGCGTTTGCGCCGAACCCGTGGACCAGCACCAGGTTGGGCTTCGTCTCCTTTTGCGACCGCGGGACCCAGCAGTGCACCACCGTGCCTTCGCCCATGTCGGTGATCGACGTCCGCAGCCCCGCGTTTGCGAACGAGTAGCGGTAGAACCAGTCCCTCGACGCCGTGAAGCTGAAGCATTTCGACATTTCTTTCTCCGTTTTCCTCTATATTGTATGCGGGAGTAATATATGATTTTCTTCTCCTCCTCTCGTTCTTGTTAATATTATTGTGTATTTGATGAAAAAAGAGCAGTTATCATTATTGAAGTGAAAATATTTGCCCAAGTTCTTTTCTTTCTCTTTCTTTTTTTTGCAAATTCATTCTCTGCGTTTGGAGAAGCAAATCCTCTATTTTCAGAAAACCCCCCAAAATTTAGCAACCAATGCCCCACCCCATACTTGACTAAGTCAATCTACCTTAAATACCTCAATTTTTTTTTTTTTTAGAAGTAGAATGGTCATTTCATTAATACGAAACACAGTGTACAGAGTTGATACAAGTACAACACTGAAAGGAAGGAAACAGCCTACTGAACAAGAAAGTATAAAAGTAAGCTCTGCATGTTTGGCTTCATTCCATTTAATGGGCCTATGACCACAGATGGCTTGGTCTTCTCTGGAGAGTAACACAGGCTCTTCGGTAGCTTTTCCTTTGAGGTCTAATGCTGCAAAGGAAATTCAAAAGGATCCCTAACAAAAACCTATGTCGCATGCAGGCGACTTGAGGACATATAAGAGTGCACACAAAGCCCTCTCAAGAGGTCGGGACAAGGGGAAATGACTCATCTTGGGCAGAGATGGGTGTGTCAAAATGTCATGAGGCAAGAGAAACGAGATGGTAAGATACGCCCCTAGGCTTAGCGTGAAGTCATACTTATCGCGTCCAAACCATAATTGTCAAACGTTCGCCCCCGTTCACTAAAAATATGATAGATACGTATGACTGAAGATGACTAGTGACAGAAGAACACTCGAATCGACCACGAGCCCCTATATTCTCATCATCCTCAATGGGCACCATCCTCTCATTGATATTTGGGGATTTCCACCAATGGTGGTTTAAAACGCTACTACATATAACAAGGAAAACATTGACAACGGTTCATCCAAGGGTTAGAGAAACCTTGATTATTAGTTGAATTAGGAGTTAAAACTTAAAACCCTTGCTAGCTATATGTTGTAGACCCATTTTTATAGTGGTCTTCCTTTTTTGTCTTTCTACAATATGCTAACAAACGAGAACGATTAGTATGTTGATCAAAGTAATAACTAAGATATTAAATCTTTGCTTCACTATTTCAAACCAACTACTAGTATTTTGAGTCTTTAGAGTTATGAACCTTCTAGAATTCTGGTATCGTCTTTTCTCCTTGGATTGGACTTTATGCTCATATTGGACTTCAAAAACTCACTTTGGCTTGGACGATGAGATTGACTGAGCTTGGTCCTTCTGACCTAAAGCCAGGGTCGATTAGGAGTGTCAGTCGGTCGGTTTTGGTTTAACCAAAAATCGAATTCTCGGTTATCTGTTAAATCGAACCACCTCCTATGACTGCCGACCACCGACCGTAGGAAAGCTATGGTTAACCGGCCAACCAACTGGCTGGTTTCGGTTTTAGGCTCGGTTAGCCGCATACAAAAAAACCACCCCTTCTCTCCAAAACGTTTTAATTCAAAAAAAATTAAAAATTAAAAAAATCACGAAACATAAATCATCAGGCATCTTCCTCGCCGCAACTGCTATTTCTCTCCTTCTCTCTCCTTCTTAGATCTACTCCTTCTCTCCTTCCTTCTCTCTCCTTCCATCTCTCCATTTTAAACAGGAAGAAGCAACAGTCGCTTGGGGAATGGAGGCGTGGCAGGAATCTGTCGACAGAAAGGAGGCGGAGGCGATGAAGGCGAGGAGAGGAGGCGCTCGCCTTCTCTGTTGAATCTTTCGGAGTGGCAGGACGGCGCGACAGGACGGAGTAGAGGCGACGAAGGAGCAGGGAGAGGAGGCGCTCGCCAGTGCACGACGCGACGATAGGAAGGCGGACGAGCGCGGTGGTGATCGAGCGTGAAGGCGGAGGCGGACAACCGACTGGTCTGGGACGGAGGCGCGGCGCGGGGAGAAGAAGATTTAGCGATTTTTCATTTTTGGGATTTAGGGTTCGTCGAGAACCAAATGGGGAGGGGAAAGGTTAATTGGATTTAGTGCTCTTATTCCTCCTCCTTTTTTATATTTTCGGTTGGGGTTCGGTTAGCCAGTTAATCGCGGTTAACCGCCATCGGTTACTCGGCTAACCGACGAACCCTTCACCCCAGCCGAACACCTACCGCTACTAGTAACCGGCCAGTTTTCGATTAGTGGCTAATCGCCGATTAACCGCTAAACGGAAATAGATCAGCCACCCCTAGGGTCGATTGTTGGTGAACTTCCCTCTAGACCTCTAGTCCTTCATTGTATTAGTTATGGTCCAACATAGTATTTGTCCTTCGGTTCGTTTTTGCTTGAAACCTTGTACACCATCCAAAAAGGTGTAAAAACAATCCTAAGATACGTTAATCACACATTGGCACAATATGAAGCATTTCTAGAGTGAAAGTGGCTAAAGATGCATGGAAATTGATGTAAAATGTGCCGATAATGTGGTATAAAAATAGTATAATATTGTTATGTAGATTCGCCTTCGGTGCTTACTTCTACGTAATGAATCTTTGATATCGCGACTTCAGGACAGCTTGGTCGAAACTCTCAAATAGAAGATCTCCTTTTAATTGTGTGAACAATCCTAGAGTAGCTATGAAACTATTAAACAAATAACAAAGCAAGATCAATAAATCATAAATTGGGTCTCAATCATCTCATATTATTGACCATAGAAAAAAAATATTTATAGAGTTACACAACCAAATCCCTTGTCTCCAAGGTTCGGGGAACAACCACACTTGCTTCAACCGAAACGGTAATGAGTGCTCGACGATGGTGCTCAAATTTATGATACTTCCAATTTAGCTCAATTCCTCCAACGAATCCATCCTTTCCCCACCTATTGTGCCTTACAATATTACCATCCCTAGAGTCATTTACCTCCCTTCTTCTGAGCAGGCTACCATTTAGCTCCAAGTTAGGATTCCATTGACATCAATTATTACCTAGGAACCTATCCTTACAAGCAATTAAATTATTGATTCATTAAAACTAATGCTCCTGATAATGCCAAGTGAGTCTTTTTCAAAATGAAATCATAATAGATAATAAAAAAAAATTCTTTCCATGATTCTCGTGTTGACAGGATCGCAGTATAGTGGCAACGAATTATATATATCAAATTTATGGGTCTCTGGATTTACCGGTACTCAACTTCAATATCTTATTTAGCCAATTTAGGTTCATAAACGATTATTGTAAACAACCAAGACTAACAATAATGTAAGTAAATTTACTAAGTTTTATACTAAGAAAGATCACTCAGGTACTGATTCTGCTTAGCCACTAGCAGGATTAATGATTTTGTAACTTCTTTTTGTCTTTGTTCATAATACATAAATCCTTAACAAGTCTTGAATCTTGATTTAAGTGCCTTGCCCCTTGTCGGGTGTTGAAATTCCCCTATCAGGGAAATAGGGGTTGCCCTGGTCGAGGAAAAATGAATTTCCAATCGGGGAATTGGGGTTGCGACCAGGCAATCAATCCAGGAGGGACCTCGGTCGAGAAGTGCAAAATCCTCGATCGGGTATTAGAGACTGAACGACCGGGGAATGCTAAAAAAACTGCACAAAAAAAACAGGCTTGATTTTGTTCAACATCCCTAACACCCAAGAACGAAAATACCCCAAAACGAGGGCACATCAGATGATCTAAGCTCGACAAACACATATACTAACTGAAACAAACCAAAGTCAAAAGAAAAAGGAAGAAGAAATGCAAACCATGGTGGGGTTGCCTCCCCACAAGCACTTTGTTTAAAGTCTTTAGCTAGACGCAGCAGGCGGAACTAATGGTCCACGAGGTCGATCACCAACTCCGTTCTTTCTACCTCACCTCCCAGATAAAACTTGAGGCAGTGCCCATTAACCTTGAAGGCCTCATTCTACGGATTGGATATCTCAATGGTGTCGTAGGGAAACACTTGTGTGACCGTAAATGGTTCTGACCATTTAGAGCACAATTTTTCTGAAAAGAGTTTCAGGCAGGTGTTGTACAAGAGAACTCAATTGCTAACCTGAAACTCCTTGGGGACCCTCAAATGAGCGTCGTGGAGACGCTTAGTTCGTTGCTTATACAAATAAGTGTTCTCGTAGGCGTGATACTGTCATTCCTACAATTCCACCATCTGCATCTTTCTCTCGATACCTGCAAGACTCATATCAAGGTTGAGCAGCTTAAGGAGCCAAAAGGGTTTGTGCTCTAGCTTGAGAGGCAAGTGACAAACCTTTTCCATGGACAAGTTGATAGGGGGAAGTGCCAATCGTTGTCTTGTAGGCTGTCTTGTATGCCCAAAGAGCATCATTGAGTTTGGTAGACCAATCCTTGCAGGATTGATCCATAATCTTTTCAATTATCCTCTTCAATTCCCTGTTCGTTAGCTCGACTTAACCATTCGTTTGAGGATGGTAAGCCATGGACACCTTATGCTTGACATGATAGTGAAAGAGGAGTTTAGTGAATTTCCCTTGAAAATGGGTTCCCCTTTCGTTAATGATGTCACGAGGTGTCCCGAACCGGGAAAAGAGATACTTCGGAAACAAACACACATGTCTTGCATCATTGGTGGGCATGGCATGTGCTTCTACCCACCTCGAGATGTAGTCTACAACAACTAATATGTATAGATTACTGAATGAAGGAGGAAAGGGTCCCATGAAGTCAATGCCCCAGACATCATATATCTCACAAGTAAAAAACAACTTCTGGGAATCCCATCTCATGCTCTATCACACACTTTCGAATCACTCCATTTGCTCCGATCCTAAAGAGGTATGGATCCTCTTAGAAGTAGTACTTCAGCTCGGAAAAGAACTTTTGCTTGGCATGAGTGGTCATCTCCTCAGGCAACTTTTTTCCCACCAGATAATTGGCAAAGTCAGAGTACCAAGGGGTGACACTCTCCATCAAGCACAGGGCTGACAGTCGCTCACATGGGAAGGAGTCGTCGATTTCTTCTACAAATTTGTCCACCATAGGGGCTTCCAATCGTGAAAACTTATTTGCTGCGACATTATCGACTCTCTTCTTGTCCCGAATCTCGATATCAAACTCCTGCAGCAGCAGGATCCAGCGGAGGCTTGGCATCATCCTTGGTCATCAAATACCGGATAGCAGAATGATCTATGTAGAGCACCACATGAGACAACACCAAGTACGGTCAGAATTTATCGAAGGCATACACCACTACAAGCAGCTCCTTCTCTATGGTGGTGTAGTTCTCTTGTTCATTGTTAAAGGTCTTGGACGTGCAGTAGATGGGCTAGAAATTCTTATTGCGTCTCTATCCCATAACGGCTCTGACCGTGTAGTCACTCGCATTACACATCAGCTCAAACGATAGTTTCTAATCCAGAGTCACCATGGTGGGTGCATGGGTAAGCTTCTCCTTCAAGGCCTCAAAGGCAGCTCTACACCCTGGAGTGAAATGAAATAACATGTCCTTCTCTAGCAACTTGATTAATGGCAATGCGATCTTTGAAAAATCCTTGATGAATCTCCTATAGAAGCCCGTGTGACCTAGAAAGTTGTGGATTCCCTTTACTGAATCAGGAGGAGGTAGATTGTTGATCGTCTATTTTCCCGATCTACCTCGATCCTCTTCTTGAAGATCTTGTTCCTGAGCTGATTCGGGCCTAATTGTACATGTTTTCCCCCCATTTTCCTTAGTCGTTTGTGGCAACTTCGCTCCTAAAAGGTTGGTTTTACGCTAGGTTTCTCGTTTTTTAGTGTGTTTCAAGATTTAACAGGTGAAACCAGCTCCGGAGTCGAAAATTGGAAGAAAAGGATCGAAAACCGGAGAAGAGGTGGAAAAGGGCCAGTTCACGGCTATCCCAGGAAGTTCACGGTCTTGCACGACCGTGATGAAGAGCCATTTACCGTGAACCTCGAGGCGTCTAGAGCCAAAACAGAAGTTAATGATGCAAGGTGAGTTCACGGTCACTAAGACCATGAACTAAGGCTGTCGACCGTGAACGGAAGTGAACGAAGCGGTGAGTTTTGGCATTCATCTGTAGTTCACGGACGCGTTTCATGGTTCACGGCCATGAACTCAGGCTGTGAACTGAGCTCGTCTCTGGTTTAAAAGATGAGCTGAAAGGAGGAGAGAAGGGGAAGCCCATTTGTGTGAAAAGACTTCGTCAGATTTCTAGAGAGAGGAACACGAACCAAAGGAGAAGAAGTCTAGGGTTTTGCTTCAAGGTGGATTTTGGGAAGATTTCCTCCAAGGAAAGTTCAACACAAGGGCCAAGAAGATTGAGAGTATCCTCAAAGATAGTTTCTACCTCTTCTCCTTGTGTTTTTCTCATTTCTAACATGGAGTAGATTTCCATTCACTTGGGTTTTGTGAAACCCTAACTCTACCATGTAGTTTCTTTTATGTGAATTGAATGATTGTCATTGGGTATTTGTCAATTCAATGATTGAGGTATTATTCATGTTGATTGTGCATGCTTGTACTTAGCAACCTAAGGGTTGTACATGTTTTATGCTTATCATCCTTAGGTTTGTGCATTTTGGTTCTTAGCAACCTAAGGATTGTGCATAATTGTGCTTAGCATCCTTAAGCTTTTTAAGCCACCTAACTAGGTTAATTTAGGGCAACCCTCAATGTTGAATTAAGCAAATTGGTTAATCACACTACAAGAAAACTTAGTATTAGAGGCAAATAATCGGAAACCATTATTATATCCGTCCCTATATTTGATCTATTATCGCAAATATATTATTTGTCTCCATATGTCATATTAATTGTCTCTATAAATTAATTTTTTCGTTTACTTTATATGAGATAAGTTCAATTAATTGATTTAGAGACACTTATTCTATTTGCTACTGTAAAATACGTCAGGCCTTTAAAAAAAGCATATATAGAAGCATATATAATTGTCTCCAAATGTTTTCGTAAATAAATGCACGGAATATTATAATTAGAAACAAATATAGTAGCTACTTAAAGTAATTAAGATACATAACAGCAAGCCCAAAAAAGAGCATAAAACTCTAGAAGATATAAACCCATGTGGCTTCTAATGTGAACCAAGCAGAGACGTCTTCGTTTTTAAAGGTCTTAGTGGGCGCCAGGCTACGAAAATTTGAGCGCGCGCGGGGAATAAAATAATTTGAACCTTTTTAATTAAACCTAAAGAAGTCCCGCAACCGTTGAACTTCCTATACCTCCCCTGCAACACGTAGTGAACCCTCCTTACAGAATAAATCCCCAAAACCAGCATCTCACCCATCTCTCTAATCCTTCCCGCGGATCTTATACAACGGAATACAAGGTCGACGCTTAGTACTGCCGGCTGCGGTGAATCAGGTACCTCGAATATCAACATCTTTAAACCATTGTTCAGTATTACCAACTCAGATCGATTATTGTATGTACCCCGTCTTGCTGCGTTTCTTAAGAACTGCTGTGCAGGGTTTGGTCTCTTTTTCTGCACAGTGGGGCCATGTCTCGCCGCCAATCCATGTCAATGTTAAGGACCACTTCAGATCCTAACCAGCGTAGCTCTATTGAGGCTACCAGACAAGATGCTTCAACCTCTAAGAAAAGAACCCGGGGCCCAACAATGTGCATGCCAATTTGGGGTATGCAGCCAGGAGAGCGAATTCAAATCACAGTTAATGATCTTGGACAGCCCATTGGCGAAGGTGCCACAAAGTTGGGAAACTTTCTTGGTACTTTAGCACGTAATAGAATATATGCACCTCTACATTATGAGGTGTAACGTCCCGACCTTTTTCGAAAAAATCAAACCACAACTCAAACCCAAAACCGGTTACTCCGGAGCAACCAAACCACTTTTTAAATAAACAAACTGACAATATTTAAGAAGTTCAAACGAAAAGCACTAACACTTGGGCAATCAAAATCCAAATACTTAAACAACTTAACTCAGCATCTTGAACCTTGAATCTCCAGTACATATACTCATAATCATAATCATAAAATAACTTTCAAGTTTTAACTCCAACCCCTCACCCAGCTTCTTGACTTCTCACTCGTACTGGCACGGCCGGTCACCTCATCTTACTTCTTCTCGGGATGCACTTCCGCTAACCCAACCTCAACCTGGTGAGTGAGAAGGGGTCAGTCTCGTCGTTACTTCCTAGGGTCTCTGCCCTTAGAAAACTCCATACTAAAACACGTTATTAGCGTTTCCTTTCCTTAGATGAAAGTCGTTCTCACTTTCATCCTTAATAACTCATTTCAACTTTAACTCATAGAGGTTCTCAACTTTTATCCTTAAGTCATAGAAGTTCTCTACTACTACCTCAACTTATATACTTATTACTAGGGAATCACCGCGTTACGTATCGCCGTCCGGTGTCCCTATCCTCAAGGCAATGGTACTGCGTTACGTATCGCCGTCCAGTCCATGCCCGGTCAACTACTGCGTTACGTATCGCCGTCCAGTAGTGACCTGACCATCTACCGCGTCCAGTAGTGGCCCAACCGCCCGGGGGTTCAATTACCAATAACCATGCACATTCATACACACACAAGCACAACGCGTGCCTCCACCTTAAGTAGGCGGTGGGATGCCTCACACACATAATCGCGCTTACTTGAAATTAAATAACATAACTGAATTAAAAAGGCATAAACTAAAAGACCTCGACGGAGATTTTACCCCCTTTACACTCACCTTGACGTAACTCGAGCTCCTACGTTGCTAACGAGGATATCCCATGAATTTCACATGTTTCCTCATGCCTCCTTCCTGTAGTACACGCCCCATGTTACACCTTAGTTATCGGATTGCCAAGCTCATTGTGTCCGTAGACATCTCAATATCCTTTAGGTCACCTAACCTTAACAGCTTAATGAAATGACACTCGACAATAAAATACCCTTGTCACTTGTCCATCTTTTAATTGACCTGACCCTTTACCACTTTCAGGCAAAATCCAAATCCATCCCTTTCCAATATATGTCTGTTATAAGATTATTCCATCAATTTTCACGTGTAGCTATTCTACACCCACGCATGAGATCCAAACTTCCAAGAAACGACCCGATCGATGATTATTCCCCAATCTGGCACTGCTAATTACTTCAATTATTTGGGTTTCATCCAACAATATCAAAGTAGTTGAAGGCCTACAGGGGTCCAGCCCTTACCTCAACAGTCGATTCATTGAATCCTCCCCGCATGCTTCTGTCCGCTCAAAGCTCTTCATCGCCATCAACTCCGTCCATGATTCACCACCCTGCCTACGATCGTCCCTCCCCGTGCCGATTCCAAGATTGAAATGCCTTTGCCAGCTCAAAATCTCTACCGGTCGTGATCCTCCTCCCTGCTGCACTTTTATTTTCTTTTCCTTCTCTCTCGTGATGGAGACAAGGCAGGGCGACGGTGGGTTGCTTTAGGTTTAGTTAGGGCTTCCCCATTTAGTGAATGGGGACGGTTTTATGTGCATGGGGAGGGAATATTGATGGGCGGTGGGGATTGGATGGGGCGACCCTTTGTGGGCCCGAGTGAACACACAATAATAATAATAATAATTATTATTATTATTATTATTACTACTAATCCGCGATTGCAATTCTTAGTACGTAATCGTTAATCCAACCGTTCACGTATGATGGTCGAACCTGAACCCAAAGGTCGGGGTGTTACATGAGGACTGGCGGCTTATGCCCAAACATTACAAGAATACCATGTGGAATATGGTACAGGTACCGTGCATGAGTAAGATTATGTGATGTTTTCTCTTATTCCATGATACTTTTATTTTCATTTTTCTGTAATGATAATTGCAGGAAAAGTTTGATGTAGACATATTTCTTTATAATTGGGTCATGACCTCGTTGAATAAGAAGTGGGGACGATTTAAGTAAAATGTGAAATCTGATTGGATAAACAAAAAAGAGAAAGACATTAGGGTATGTGATGAAGATTGGAGCTGGTTGTTGGAATATTGGAGCACCGGAAAGGCTGCGGTGAGAAATTTTCCATTCATTCATTCACTAGTTTAATTGGGTTAAACTATAAAGTATCTAAATTTTGTTTTCCTACAAGCGACGTGAGAGGGTGGGGAAAGAGAACAGGAAGAACATGTTATCAGCTCATACTATGGGGACTAAGAGTTATGCCCGCTTCAAGGAAGATATGGTAAAATTAAATTTTTGGTTCTACATTTGCATATCATGTCTTGTGTAGCTTCTGTGGATTCTGAGTATATCATCATTCAGAAGAAAAAAAAGACCAGATAAGTCAGAGCCAACCCGAGCTGAAGTTTATATTGCAAGCCATGTACGTCCCGATGGGAAGCCGTTGAATGATAAAGTTGCTAAAGTAATTGTAAGTACACTTGAATGATTTCTAGATTGTGATATTAGCAAATCTTATATTAATCACGTATACGATTTGTCCCTTTCTTTTTGTTCCAACATTATAAATCATATAACTTTTTGATTTCAGGACAAAGTGAAGGACAAAATGCAAACACAACCTCCTACTGCACATGATAGCTTTGGACCAAATGACATATTGTCACAAGTGCTAGAAGACAAACCTTATTACTCAAGAGCATATGGATTAGGACACAACTGGGGCAACAAGAATTCAATTGTAAAGAATGCGCTAGAGGCAAAGAAAAATGCTGAAGAGAAAACACAAAGGGTGGAGGAAAAACTAGAGAAAGTGTTGGGACAACAGGAGAAGATACTGGCTTTGCTGCACAAGGAGAATCCTAATTTGGATTTGGATGAAATAATTGATTCACCAAATGAGGTATAACCCCATTGAACCATATTTAACTTTTGGTGAATGTAAATTAGTGGGATGCATTTGTTTTATGATAAATAATACTCATTCTTCTATGCTATAGAATGATGTCCCTGATATAGGAGAGTCTGACGAGTTAGGAACTGTTCCTCTACTTCCCATGTTACAATCATCGACAGCAATACCTGAGACTCAACCAGATGATGTAAGTTTTTCTTTTCTTTTTAAGCTCTTAATCATTACAAATCATAGTATAAATGTCTACTTATCTTTAGAGTTTTTTGTTTTTGTTTTACATTAGGTGACACCAAATTGCATTCTCGACACCTTTATGCCTCTACATCGTACCATCTTGCAAAAAAAGGGGATCTTTGGATATGGAAGTGCAGACACTCAGAAAAGAGAAAGATGATTCATTCTTCAATTACATGGTAAACTCATATCAAGTAAGAGTTATCCTTACTTTTACATAAGATTACAATATCTGATTCATTATAGAAATAAACATGGCTCCTTGCATTTTCATAACTTGTCTTTATATTTGGTAGAATAAAGGCACACATACACTGGGAAATGAGTTGGATGGGAGTAATATTGATACCAACTCAGATAGTTTCACTCAGGTACGTTGACATTATAAAGTTAAGCAAATCTTTATTGCTTGTAACCTTATTTTGCGTCCCCCATTCACCTTATTTTAGCTCGCTCTTTATGAAAATATAGAATGCGGATTTGTCTTTCATGTTAACATGATATACATGTTTTGGTACAGGAACTTTCATGTGTTAAATTGTACAGTTTGCATGATCCTTCTCCCGAGGTAGCTAGAGGAGGGATTGTAAGCAAAAATCCACTATGTCGTGTAGGGGATCAAGAATTGGGAAAAGGATTTTATGAAATATTTTTTGATGTTGCAATTGAGCCTGAGGAGCGTTTAGTACGCCCATATGGAAGTTTACAAACTATTGGAGATGCAGTAGTAGAGTCAATCGCTTGGCCATAGTGCTTTGTAAGTTAATATAAGAATGTTTTTATGAGTCACACCTAGCTAGTTGTACATGTACATGACACGTGGCTTATTTGTTGATGTATATGTGTAACAGGTGAAGAAGACCGGTGTGGTTAAACCATTATGATCGATGGACAAAGCAATTGAGGGTGAAGATCATCTTAGTTGAATAGGCCGTTTTTAATTTCATAGTCCATGTTCGTTGTTATTGAGGGAGCAATTAAATACATTTGAATTCTATCTATGTCATTTTGATATGAATGTTATGACTATGGTTATGATTAAAATATTTATAAATTTCCATTTATTTTGTTAAATTTATTCTACATTACAAATTATATATATATATATATATATAAAATAAGGAGAATAATAATTTATCTCTATATATAGCAATACTATCTGTCTCTAAAAGGATAAAAAGCACAATCATTTCCCACTATACGTAAAAACACAAACTATTACATTTGCACCTGATACATAGACAATTGGAGGCAATAATACGTGACTCCAAAGTGTCATAAAATAACAAGTTATTTGCATATGAAAGTTCAAATAGAGATAAAATTATTTGTCTCAAAATAATATTCATTGGAGGCAAATATTTATGTTTATATATGGGTTTTTGTATGCAAATATAATTGACTCAATTACTACAATTAAAATCAAATTTATATCTCTCTAAAAGTATTTAACAAGCCGAAAAAACATGCTTTTAAAAGTAGATTTACAATCAAATAAATTTGTCTCCAATTGCTTCATTTGTAGCAAATATTATTTGCATCTATGTTTGCTACTAAAGGGAATTAGAGATGGAGGCGTCTGATGCAAATAATATATTTGCCTCTATAGATATATAGAAACAAATAAAGGACATTCTGATTCAAATAATCTCTCCCTCTAAAGAGGTTTTTTCTTGTAGTGTCACGATTAAGTCGTCCGACCCTTGAGTTGAGTGAGGGAGTAAGTCAACTAGTGATTGCCTAAACCGAGAGGGTCGAGTGACACGGCCTATAATGTTTACCTCGGTTTAGCAATTGAGATTGTGGTCTCCGACCATATATGCATCCCTCTACGGTTCGTGGTTACCTTGCTCAAAGCAATCGTTCCAATTCACATAACATGGTCGTAGTTAGGGGGAAGCGACACCCGAGTGATCCTTCCACAAAAGAGTTTTCAAAACCATTCACTACAAGAAAAAACCTCTTTAGAGGGAGAGATTATTTGAATCAGAATGTCCTTTATTTGTTTCTATATATCTATAGAGGCAAATATATTATTTGCATCGGACGCCTCCCTCTCTAATTCCCTTTAGTAGCAAACATAGATGCAAATAATATTTGCTACAAATGAAGCAATTGGAGACAAATTTATTTGATTGTAAATCTACTTTTAAAAGCATGTTTTTTCGGCTTGTTAAATACTTTTAGAGAGATATAAATTTAATTTTAATTGTAGTAATTGAGTCAATTATATTTGCATACAAAAACCCATATAGAAACATAAATATTTGCCTCTCATGAATATTATTTTGAGACAAATAATTTTATCTATATTTGAACTTTCAGATGCAAATAACTTGTTGTTTTATGACACTTTGGAGTCACGTATTATTGCCTCCAATTGTCTATGTATCAGGTGCAAATGTAATAGTTTGTGTTTTTACGTATAATGGGAAATGATTGTGCTTTTTATCCTTTTAGAGACAGATAGTATTGCTATATATAGAGACAAATTATTATTCTCCTTATTATTTATATATATATATATATATATAATTTGTAATGTAGAATAAATTTAACAAAATAAATGGAAATTTATAAATATTTTAATCATAACCATAGTCATAACATTCATATCAAAATGACACAGATAGAATTCAAATGTATTTAATTGCTCCCTCAATAACAACGAACATGGACTATGAAATTAAAAACGGCCTATTCAACTAAGATGATCTTCACCCTCAATTGCTTTGTCCATCGATCATAATGGTTTAACCACACCGGTCTTCTTCACCTGTTACACATATACATCAACAAATAAGCCACATGTCATGTACATGTACAACTAGCTAGGTGTGACTCATAAAAACATTCTTATATTAACTTACAAAGCACGATGGCCAAGCGATTGATTCTGCTACTGCATCTCCAATAGTTTGTAAACTTCCATATGGGCGTACTAAACGCTCCTCGGGCTCAATTGCAACATCAACAAATATTTCATAAAATCCTTTTCCCAATTCTTGATCCCCTACACGACATAGTGGATTTTTGCTTACAATCCCTCCTCTAGCTACCTCGAGAGAAGGATCATGCAAACTGTACAATTTAACACATGAAAGTCCCTGTACCAAAACATGTATATCATGTTAACATGAAAGACAAATCCGCATTCTATATTTACATAAAGGGCGAGCTAAAATAAGGTGAATGGGGGACGCAAAATAAGGTTACAAGCAATAAAGATTTGCTTAACTTTATAATGTCAACGTACCTGAGTGAAACTATCTGAGTTGGTATCAATATTACTCCCATCCAAATCATTTCCCAGTGTATATGTGCCTTTATTCTACCAAATATAAAGACAAGTTATGAAAATGCAAGGAGCCATGTTTATTTCTATAATGAATCAGATATTGTAATCTTATGTAAAAGCAAGGATAACTCTTACTTGATATGAGTTTACCATGTAATTGAAGAATGAATCATCTTTCTCTTTTCTGAGTGTCTGCACTTCCATATTCAAAGATCCCCTTTTTTGCAAGATGGTACGATGTAGAGGCATAAAGGTGTCGAGAATGCAATTTGGTGTCACCTAATGTAAAACAAAAAAAAACTCTAAAGATAAGTAGAGATTTATACTATGATTTGTAATGATTAAGAGCTTAAAAAGAAAAGAAAAACTTACATCATCTGGTTGAGTCTCAGGTATTGCCGTCGATGATTGTAACATGGGAAGTAGAGGAACAGTTCCTAACTCGTCAGACTCTCCTATATCAGGGACATCATTCTATAGCATAGAAGAATGAGTATTATTTATCATAAAACAAATGCATCCCACTAATTTACATTCACCAAAAGTTAAATATGGTTCAATGGGGTTATACCTCATTTGGTGAATCAATTATTTCATCCAAATCCAAATTTGGATTCTCCTTGTGCAGCAAAGCCAGTATCTTCTCCTGTTGTCCCAACACTTTCTCTAGTTTTCCTCCACCCTTTGTGTTTTCTCTTCAGCATTTTTCTTTGCCTCTAGCGCATTCTTTACAATTGAATTCTTGTTGCCCCAGTTGTGTCCTAATCCATATGCTCTTGAGTAATAAGGTTTGTCTTCTAGCACTTGTGACAATATGTCATTTGGTCCAAAGCTATCATGTGCAGTAGGAGGTTGTGTTTGCATTTTGTCCTTCACTTTGTCCTGAAATCAAAAAGTTATATGATTTATAATGTTGGAACGAAAAGAAAGGGACAAATCGTATACGTGATTAATATAAGATTTGCTAATATCACAATCTACAAATCATTCAAGTGTACTTACAATTACTTTAGCAACTTTATCATTCAACGGCTTCCCATCGCGACGTACATGGCTTGCAATATAAACTTCAGCTCGGGTTGGCTCTGACTTATCTGGTCTTTTTTTTCTGAATGATGATATACTCAGAATCCACAGAAGCTACACAAGACATGATATGCAAATGTAGAACCAAAAATTTAATCCTATACTGCACCCGAGTAAGGTTTATACATGGACCTTAGGCATGGATTTATTGTGGTATTCGGAGTGAGTCATGAGCACAATCCCTTCCCAAATCATGAAGTAACACTTATATCAGATGAGTGCAAAGTTCGTCTCCTCACACCTCTTCAAGACAAGTTCCAGGTTACGGAGATAGTGAGAGAATGAGTCTTCATAAACCGAGAATTCATCCAAGAAGACTTCCACAATCTCTCCAAACATTCGGTCGAAGATCGCCATCATACATCTTTGTAAGGTCGCTGATGCATTCCAGAGACCAAAGGAATCCACCGATATGCAAAGGTGGTGAAGGGGGCAGGTGAAAGTGGTCTTCGCCTGATCCTCCGGTGCTATCAAGATCTGGAAGTACCCGGACATGCAATCCAGGAAATAGTAGAACTTGTTGCCCGCCAGCCTCTCCAGCATATGATCAATAAATGGGAGCATGATTTACTAATTGGGGACAATAGTCATCCCGCCTTTCTTTGGGACCACCTAAGTGGGACTGACCCACTGGCTGTCAAAGATGGCGAAGATGATCCATTCGCCCATCATCTTGATAATCTCGGCCTCGACCACTGCTTCCAGATTGGGAGTCAACCTCCGCTGTGGCTACCTGATTGGCCTGATTTCATCCTCCATCATAATTCTGTGGGAGTAGAAGGAGAGACTGAATCTCCTGATGTTGGTAAACTTCGAGGCCAGCGCGCGCATACTGCTTCATCAGGGTCACCAGACTCCTCTTTTGCTCGGGAGTGATTTCCAAGTTAATAATATCGGGAGCTTGTTCCGCTACCGGAGAAATATATACTCCAGGTGAGTGGGGAGGGGCTTAAACTCCAGCTCTGTTGGCTCCTCCAGAGATGTGGTGATCTAGGGTAAGGCAAATATCGACTTGAACGATCTCTCACGCCCTCGATCGCAACTCCATCTAACACTGCTTGTTGCTCCTCCAACTGCAACTCCTGTGATACTTGTTGCCCTAGCAAAAGACAATGCTGAAGGGAATCATTAGTACACGCACTCGTGACGACGAGTGAGATTTCAAAATCAGCAAGCACATCATATTAGTCTAAATCATCATATACATGGGAGAATGTTTAAGATTGGAATCAATATAAATGTAACTTGTTCCTCCCTCACTCTCAATATCAGCTTGCCATCAGTTACATCAATGCTTCCTTTTATAACTATTTCTTTTTTTTATATATGGAACTATGATGACTCTCCAAGCAAGTCCTTCACTAGATTGATCTTCATTGTCCTCTTGCTCGTCTACTATGGAGACCTCTTCCTCTTTGTCTTTATCATTAGCATCGTGAAGGTGTAATTGAGTGAGTCTCGAACGAATTTGTTCAAGATCTCTCTTCTTCCCTACAAACTTCTCATTCAACTCTTGTTTTATTTTGAGGAAGTCTTGAAAAGAAGGGCTGGGACTTCCTATGATGGAAAATTTCCCTATAGTCTCCATGTTTGCCTCTTAGACTTCCTTTTCCTCTTCGTATGGTAAGATATGATTGTAAGCAAGTTGTGCACATGTTTGCTCAACAATTTCTCCTAGTCTCTCCGTTTTTCAGAGGATTTCCTCTGATTTCTGTAATAAGGATGAGTCGATAGGGGTGGTGGTCGTGGATTCCATATCGGATTATGCTTCGGTATCTCGGACAAATCGCTCCACCAAAAGCTCCAATTGGCTTTTTGGCTCCCACTGTGGAGGGAATTCTTCTTGGTATAATGATAAGGCTTAATAACCATGGAGGTGCGGTTGATGATCATGGAGAGGTGGTTGTTCTTGAAACCGGGATCCTTGGCTAAACCCGCTACTAGAAGCTTTGAGATACCACCAATTTGACCTTTGGTAATCTCCCCACTCCTCGAGCCAACCAATGGATCCATTATGCACAAACTATAAACAACAAAAACACTAAAAATACGATCAAACACACACAAACCACCCCTCAAGGAGAAAGGTGGGTGAAAAACACAAACAAAAAACAAAAAGAAAGTGGCTAAAGTATTAACGTCGTCCTTTTTCGCAAGAACCCAATGGACCCCATAACGACGCCAAAAACTTGATCACTCGAGCTAACCAAGTTAAAACTCGATTATCAACTAATGCTACTCCAATCTAAGTTAAGTATGACCTAGACCAGCGATGCAGTAAAGGATTGACTCACGAGGTCGAATTCCATGAGTCCATGGATCTACTGCTACTTCAGAACTAATCTACTATCTAGCCTAACTAGATTTTGGGGTAAAACTAACCAAATATACTCCTAAACAACCAAACAAGTGGTTGGGAGATCGCTAGAGATGAGACGATTGCCTAGGGTCAAATCCCCCTAGCTATGATTGTCAAGTAGGGTTAAGCCAATGTGGTGAGTGAGCTCTTTTCTGTGGGCTTTCATGGTTATCCACACGCCTCCGAGTACGCCTCCCGTATGTGCTTGATGGCGCATACCTGTCTAACCCTAAAACTCCATACCCAGTACATAAGCTCAAGAAGGCTAGTAGAGAAGATTAGGGCGACTTACCCAAATAAAATTAAAGCTAGAAAAGAAATAAAATCAACTAGATAAACTCATTTAGTCAAAACCCATACATACACAACCTATAAACTAGGGTTCATCTTCTTTAAACAACCATTAGAGATTCAAGTCATAAAGAAGGAAAGAAAACACAAACTAGAAGAGAGGGAGTGATGGAATCAATCTTCACGTTCTCCTTGCTCCTCGGGTGGATTGGATCTTCAATGAAGCTCTCCCAAGGTGTTTCCCTCTCTAAAACACTCAAAAACCCTTACTTTATCACTCTAAGGCGGCTCTTCTTTGTCAAGTGTAGAAAAGAGAGTATTTGTAGGATGCTGGCAGTGGTCATGGCATCGACCGGGCTAAGGGATTGAACCTGGTTGACAACCTTGGATCAAACCCATAAAATAGACGAGAAAGACAAACAATTTTTTTTCCAAAAGATAAGCATATATTGATTGAAAAAGAGATCAATAACATTACACCCTAGTCTGAAGCGAGGTCCCAAAGTCAAGGATCGATATGGGGTTAGGAACAAAAAAATGGCATTTTTAGCCATCAAATGGACTGCCTTATTACTATTCAGACCTACAAATCGTATATCAAATTCATTGTGCAGTACCAACATATGTAATACTTCCTAGAGAATGGCCCCAGCGTAGGGGATGAGTTAACATGGTTACTAATTTTTTAGTAGTCGCGCTGGCTACCAAAATCAATACCGTTTATTTTCCTTTCCCCCCTTCTTTTTTGAATTGATGGTCAAGATTGCTATAAGGATATTTTTAGAAACCAAAAAAATAACACATGTGATTATTCCTTTATAAAATACAATTTTCCATATATATATTTCTCTCTCCTCAAACACTAACAGATCGTTTCATATCCTCTCTTTCATCGACTCACCCTCTGTTCGTCCCACCTTCCCCCGTCCGCCGCCAAGCAGCTTGCGTCCCTCGCCTTCCTCCTCGGCCTCCCTCCGCTATTTAATTTGCAGAGCACGTAGGTGCTACTAATCAAAATGCTACCCCCCTTCTATCTCCCTCCATCTTCTTCATTTTCACATTGTCTCACTTCATCCCAAACAGGCTCCTTTATTTGCCAACTAGGGCCTTCAATTGCCAAGCAAGACCCCCAATGTGTTCTTCGCATCGAAACTTAACAAATACGGTCCAATTTTCAATGGTATTGATTTATTTTTGAAATGGTTTTGTTTTGTTTTCATAACAATACTGATATTGGTTCATATTGAAATGGTATTGCTCTTTTGGTATTGATTTTATCGTATTGGTATTGGTAAATCTGCAATAGTATTGATTAATATGTATTGGTATTGGTTCAACCTTCGCTGATATTGATTTATTTATGAAATGATGTTGCTTTATTTTCATAATAATAGTGGTATTGGTTCATGTTGAAATGATATTGCTCTTTTTTGTATTGATTTTATATTGGTATTAGTAAATCTACAATGGTATTGGTTAATATGTATTGGTATTGGTTCATATCGCAATGGTATTGATTTCTTGCAATGGTATTGTTTTTTCCTAATATTTTTTTATAATTTGATAGTGAATACTTGTTTATTTTTGTAGTGGTATTGGTACAGAAGAATCAAGAAGTTTACAGAGAGGTGGCCGGAAAAGGAAATAAATGGCTTCAAAACTAATGAAGTGAGAGAAAGAAATAAATAAAGCTAATTGAGAGAGAGAAAATTATAATTAATATAATGTTTTTAACTTTTTATTTTTGTAATTTAATAAAAAAGATAATTACTAAGTAAGATAGCCTAACGGTAAAGCTGCCGCAACAGTGAAGACTTGGAAGTTGCAGATCCTAGATTCGAATCCAAGCGAGGCATGTTGGTGTTCTAGGAGGTATGAGGCTGCTGGAGGCGAAACCCCGTTGGTGTCGAAATTGATTGTAGGTGGCCCCCAGATTTAGTAGGACCCGCTGTCACAGAGTGGCACGTGAGGCTGAAGTTCCTGGGTAATAAAAAAAGATAATTAATAAATATTATTTTTCATACTCAATTTGTCCTTAATAATCATAACTAGCGTGGACCCCCGGCTAGTTGGCTGGAGGAGGTGAGTTATGAAATTTGATAATGTAATGGGGTGTATAGATTATTGTTGTATAGCTTTTTTAAAAAACATGTGATAAAGATAGTGAATTTTAGCAACAAAAAAAAAAGAGGCATGAATGATGCAATAAAAATCAGGCTTATGAACCAAGTTCGAGCACCGGTTACCTTGTAAAACAATATTATTTTTGATAATTTGAGAAAGTGGAGTAAGTTTATAGAAACCAAATTCTAGAAAATCGAATAAAAAATCGCCTATCCCTCCAGTCTTCGAGAAATGAGCATCTCACAATCGTTGCTAGCTTTTACTCGGCCCGTTGGCCGATTAATTTTCTTTATAAAACTTTCATCTTGTCGTCAAAGTTATTAATTCGAATGGAACAATTCATTCACCAACTCACGGAAAGGGTTAAATAGTTAACCTACGATCCAACTCGATTAGCCTAGTTTTTCTAATTTGTAACATATATTATGCTATTATTTTATATCTTAGTGGCTAAAATATAATGTATTTTAAAGTTATTAAATGGTTAAACCTCGACCAACCCAATTAGTCCAATTTTCATCATTTCAAATATATATTATGTAATTATTTGATATCATAATGATTAAGTTATAGTGTATTTTATAGGGAAGCGTTTGGTATTTGTTAGTAAAAAACTAAACATAAAGATGCATTTGGTTATTTTTAACATTAAAACAATCCTAAATATTTTCAGTTTCCTTTTCGACTTTCTATGGTTTTGTTCCCGAAGCAGTGATGTGAAAATGGCAAATTGCAGTCTTCTCTTTTCTTTCACTATTTTTTATTTTCAAATAGAAAGTTTGAAACTAAAGAATAATTGGAGTTTGGCATAAGGTCGGTCAAACAGGTTGAATTTCAAGGTTTGACAAATTTTGATCAAGTCTAATTTATAATCACATGGTTCCTTGACACCATACAAAAATCTTAATCCAAACCAGTTCGACAGTTGAGTCCGTGTTTACCACCGTTTTTTAGGTACAGAAACGACGGTTCCTATCCCAAATTGTGTTGTTCGTTCTTGATTTCTTTAGATTTTATCATGGCATGACAAAAACCAGAAAGCACAATGAATCCGCCGAACCCAAAATCGTCGGGAAGGAGGGTGGAAATCGCAAGCACAGCGGATGGATCTCCCGACCCAATCTCCGTCACGATTCCTCGACAAGATCTGCTCGTTGGCGGGAGAGAACCAAAGATTGAGGGGTATGGAAACAACTTCCGATCGGTCTGAGAAGTGGAGAAATCGTCACTAGAACAGGAAGAAACACACATTTCACATGAAATTGACCGTGAAGAACTGGAATCGGTGTAGAAGGTCGGTACAAGCGGTGAGTTTGTTGTAAATCACCCGTCGATAAGCATCTGGCTTGCAGATGAGAAGGGTAGATGCGCGGGGGAGTGGGCGATCAGTCTGGCCTTAGGTAATCAGTTCGTGGAGCGAGAGCGTCTATTTCAGAAGAATTTAAAGTTGAAAGGGTGATGAGAGCGTCATTATTACATTATGTATAATTATTTTATATTAATATAATTGACAATTAGTATACAAAATATCATTTATTTTGTTTATATTAACAATATATAAACCGTAAAATATTAATGGATAAAGGTTTAATAATATGGACAAGGGTATATTTTCACAATATTGCATTTAGTTTGTATTAATCCTTCGTTCCATTTTTTCCATCGTAAAATTTAATAATTTGGAACTCGAGTAAAAACTAAATTAAAGTCCAAGATTATTGCCACAAACAAAGTCCAAGATTATTAGTAAATGGTCTTTGGGCTTTCCATCCCTAGTACTTCTACAAGTCTATAGTTACGTTGATGTAATAACAGAAAGGACAATAATATCCAGCAACCAGAAGCATCGAGACGGTGGATGATTCTCCTCAATTCAAAGGTGTCGGCTCTTCCTGTTTGACGTCGAGTACTGGTCGTCATATGTCTCCGACGCCGGAACTCCTTGTTTCCTCCAGAACGAAGTATCTCTACAATCTCAGGGCCTTATCTCACTACTAGTTGGAAGTTCTTTCATTTTCAGCTCGACCGACCTCAATTAATCGGCAATCTCCTTCATCCATTTAGAGTCGATGGTTGCAATGTTCTCGCCTCTCGTTGAGTCTACTCTTATTTCACCCATTCACCCAATTAATGGCTCAAAGTTTCTTTTCAAACTCTATGCAAAAGGGTAGTTTTAATCGGATCCGCGTTCTCCCACAACAAGCGCTCCCGCCGAAATCAATTCTTGAATTGTATACGACTTGCCAGAAATTCGTGTTTTGGCGGATTGAAGTGTGAACGTGGGCTTGGAACCCACGAATAGGATATCCAAAGTCCGGCCGAACAGATGCGCGTGGCTGAAACCTATTATGTTTTTGTCGGCAGTAACAATCTCTGGGCCCGTTCAAGTCCGCGCATGTACTGTAAGTTGGCCCGTTCCACAGAGGAAAGAGAAAAAAAATTAGCACTACCTATTCTACCCCTACTACAAACGCTCATGGAGCAGCAAATTTGAAATGCGAGAATGGGTTTTTTCTTGCTGCTATTATATTATGTGTAGATAAGAAAGATAGAATTTAAATTAAGTATTAAAATACAACTAATCGTTGAAAAAGTTATATGATTTTCAGAATTTAGGTTCATGTATATTTTTAATTTAAAAAGATACAACAAATATACTTAGTGTGATTGGTTATGATACTTGTTTTTTTTAAGTGACCATGGTTCAAATCCCAGTACATGTACTTTTTATGAATAAATAAATAATAAATGAGCAATTGTGAAGACCAAAATGTATTTTCTACATTTACTCTCGTTGCAGGAAATTTGAAATGGAGCGACAGATTTTCTCTTGTGCTATTATATTATGTGTAAAAATAATATTATAAGAATTCGCAATCAGCATAACCCCTCTTCCAGGTAGGGATGGCAAAAATATCCGTAACAGTGGATATCCGCCCGAATTCAACCTAATCAGGTAGGGTAAAACCCGAACCCGAAGGACTTTTAGTGGGTACGGGTAAAATCCGAACAGGAATATTGCGGGTAATGGGTAGACATGGTCTTCTTATTATCCAACCCGAACCCGCCCGATTATACACATGTATATGTATTTTGTCTATAAATAATCATTATTTTTCTCTAACATATTTTATATTTAGCATATACATATAATATTTTCATGACATTGTGTTCTTTTATTAATTTTCTTCATTCTAGTGAATTATTGTCGTATTTTTCCTCTTATGTAATGTGAGTATAAGTGTGAATGTTAACATATTGGTTGGAGTTATAAAGAAAAATTATTACCCATGGATAACCGTGGATACCCGAAACCCTAACTGTCATGGGCATGGTTTTGATTTTTTACCCGTTTCTCATGTGGATAGGTACAGTGGCGGAGCTACGTCTAAGGGAGGGGGGGTGCATGAAGCCCCCTTGGCTGTGGGCAAAAAAATATTGAGTATATATAGTGGGAGATGGGAATCGAACCTCTGAAATGATTCACACAGAGCAATCTCACCATCTCAGCTAGAAGAGGATTTTAATTTATTTGACACACACATTTACTTATATCAGAGTTAATTATCTGTCCTAATATCAAAACACTATCGTCGATCCCAGCAAGGCAGAAACCCCCAATTTCATTTTCGTTTTTCTCTACCCAGCAGCAGAGGCACTGCAAGTGCACTCGCCGACCTCCAAGCTTCCATCCTCCAACGGCGGCGAGTCCACCCTCCAAGCTCTCCATCTCTGGAAATGGAAGAGACGTAATCACGAGGTAGCAAGCAAGCTGCAACTTTTCCCCAACCGTGCATACAACCGTCGAGGTTCATTGTACGCGATGTGTGCATAATTATTATTATGTAATTGTACGGATCTTGGGTATTATGTTATTGACTTCATATTTTCGTTTGAAGTTGACTTTTTTATTGTATAGTTGATTTTTTCATTACATGAACAAGCACCCCCTTGGCAAATTTTCTGGCTCCGCCACTGGATAGGTATGGCCTATGGGTAAAAACCCGAACTACTTTAGATAGGGTAACAAATATGCACTATCCGCACTCGAACCGACCCATTCCCATCCCGACTTCCAGATGTGGGGTCGTTTGGTTTTGGTGATAGTTTGGTTGGGATAGTTACAAAGCATGCAATGTCCACAATCAGGGCCGTCCCATGATATTTGGAGGGCCTGTTCGAAAATTTTAAATGTGGCCCTAATTTTTTTCCCCATAAATTTTATCAAAATTAAAAATTAGTAAATAATTATAAAAAAATACTTAAGTTCAAAAAAAGATTACATCAGAAATAAACGATCTTGTTTCCAGTTTGACCAAGAAAACAAGACAGAATTCCCATCCTTAGTAGGGAGGAAAGTAAATCTGGAAGGAAGAGAAAATGGATATAGCGCAAAATTGAATGGAGAAATGAAAATAGTCTAAATTGATCGAGAGGTGGGTGCAGGGTTGTCTACTAGATCGTGGAGGCCCTATTTCAAAATCTAGACGTGGTCCAAATCGACCTTTAACTATAATAAAATTAAAATGATTATAATAACATTATTCAAAATGTAATATCTTTCTATATTGTTTAAATTAAATTTATCTATTATTTTTCAGATTTTCGTATTCTCCGTGAGATCCTTTTCAATTGTTATTATAGATAAAATTATCTATTAAACACATCATCATATTCATAATCAATCAATCATACACTAAAAATACAACCTACAATATACGATTGGTAACTAACGAATCTAAGTAGAGGCCCCTAATATTTTGAGGCCCTGTGCCGGAGGGAGGGCCAGCACACCCTCTTGGCCGGCCCTGCCCACAATGCATCATTTTTCTGAATTTTCTGCGGAAACATCACATGCATTATTTACTTGATTTGACACAAACTATGACTCAAAATGAGTGATAGTTAAATCTCAAGTTTTCGTTGAGATTGTTGAAATTGTTTGATGGAGATTGTTGTGTTTTCTTCTTCTTTCAAATATGTCCCTGCTTTTTTTGTGTTGCTTTTTTATATTAAAAACAAAGGGTAAAAGTGAATTTTCACCAAAAAAGTGATATAATTTATGTAAATACTACAATAACTATCAGAGAAACCAAATGATGTAAACTATGATACACCAATTTTCTTATATACATGTATATTATTATGCATGCATTGATAACAATACATCAATTTAACTATCACCAAAACGAAACCACCCAACCACCTGTAGTTGTCCCGCTTATCCGCCTGGAGAAAGGCAAACTATTAAGGTATCGTTTGCTTGTGGGATTTGGGTGATGGATTTGGTACCCAAATCCCAAGGTACCAAATCCCAAGCATAATGAAATTGGCACAAGTCCATGGTTTGCTAAGGGACACAAATCCGTGGGGCCCACGGATTTGGAGCCATTTTTTAGATCCAAATCCGTGGACCCCACGGATTTGCAAATCTCACATTTCATTTGAGATTTTATAATGGAAGACAAAATGTGAACAAATCCATCGTGAATCTATGACAAAAATAAACTACACAAACAATGTACTCTTCCAAATCCATAATGCAACAAATCCATCGTAAATCCAAATGTTTTGAAAACTCAAAACCTTCGTTTTCAAATCCAAGCCCTAAGTTTATGGGAATTGAAAGAAAACGTGGGTCTACTGCTCTTCTTCTTTAATAGGTTAGCTGGTTGGACGACCGCCCCAAGTCCAAAGAGCAGGGCCCCTGCAGCTGCGTTTATTGCTTGCGTCAGAACAATAAACACTGATTGCTTAACCCTTTTCTATTCCCGTTCAAAAAGTGAATGGCTTTTCCTGCTCTTCTTTGTTTGTCTGGTCAATTCAATCCAATGTTTTCGTAGATTTTATTTATCCTTTCTTCGGTGTATCCAAGAGAAGAATCAAATCTCTTTGGTAACAATTGGTCGGGTTCGATTTCGTTCTCCCCACCTTCGCAACCGCCCCGGTGCGATCCTTTCTCTTCTGCAGCAGAAAGCATGGTGGATAATGATAATCATAACAGTAATGGGAACAAGAGTAGTAACCACAAGAAGAAGAAGACGAAGACCAAGCGTGGAGGTAGCAAGAGGAAGATGAGCGCGGAGCAGTGCGTGGCGTTCAAGGCGGTGGCGGAATGGGTTTGTTTGAATCAACAACCGCCTTACCTTTCCACAGCTGCTTCCTGCCTGGTGGATGATTTTGGGGTGCAGAAGAGCTCGGGGAGAGGTGGGGGTAGAATTGTATTCGATTTGCACTGTCATTCTAACCACAGTGATGGCTTCTTATCCCCTTCTAAGCTCCTAGAGAGGGCTCATGGAAATGGGGTGAGCATTTTTCCTTATTGTTTTTATGTTCTCTTCTTCAGCCATTGCCTTGCCATTTTCAAATCCTTGTCTTTCTTGTTTTGCTGATATGAAATGGGTTTTTGTTCCTTTTCCATTCCATTCATATGGGTATTTTCTGGGTGATGGTATATGATGTAATTGAGTAATTCACGAAGAAAGAGTCTGGTGAGGGAAACAAATGTTTTCTGATAGGTTGCTTAGTATTCTGTCATAGGGCCATTCAATCTGCTGAAATCTTTGGCCTGATCAGAAACCATGGCTATTGGCTGTTGGAAATTTATTTTAATTAGTAAAAATCTGTCCATCCATAACAGGTGAAAGTTCTTGCTCTCACAGATCATGATACCTTGTCTGGGATCCCTGAAGCCATTGAAGCTGCTGCAAGATTTGGCATCAAGATAATCCCAGGTGTTGAAATCAGCACAATATTCTCTCCAAGGTAATCTGACTTGCTACTCTTCTTCAAATGCCGGCCTCTCTACTTGGAGCAAATGGTTGTCGGAGTTTTTTTTATCGTGGAAGCGATAGATCATACAGGCTGGGTTGACCAGCGACTGTGTTCTATAGTTCCCCTGATGATTAACCTTTTGGTCTTTACACTTGTGTAGTGGGAACCATGAATTGGAAGAACCAGTCCACATCCTTGCATACTACAGCAGCTGTGGACCTTCAAGGGTTGAGGAATTGGATAAGGTGTTGTCTAATATAAGGGATGGCCGCTTCTTGCGTGCCAAAGAGATGGTCTTGAAGCTTAATCACCTCAAGCTTCCTCTCAAATGGGAGCATGTTGCTAGGATTGCAGGCAAAGGAGTTGCTCCTGGTAGGCTTCATGTTGCTCGAGCTATGGTTGAAGCAGGTTATGTAGAGAACCTGAAACAGGCTTTTTCCAGATATCTACACGATGGTGGACCTGCTTACTCAACGTATGTAAAGTTTTGGCTTGTCTACTGCAGCCCTCGTATTGGAAATATATATATGCATCGTGCTGAAAATCGCTCTATCTATTTTGAGGCAGCGGGAATGAGCCTCGCTCAGAAGAAGCAGTCCAACTTATACATGACACTGGGGGCATTTCAGTGTTGGCTCATCCATGGGCATTAAAGGATCCGGTCGCAGTAGCGAGAACCTTAAAAAGTGCTGGCCTTCACGGGATTGAGGTTTTCAGAAGTGATGGTAGACTGTCTGGTATGCTTCTTAGTGAAAATTATTTCTGCTATCCCTTGTAGTTCAGTCATCAAATGCTGTGATTGTGTGCAATTAATTTTTTTGGTTTCAACCTATCTATTGAATACCAATCAGTTTTCTCGCAAGAAAGTGCGATTGATGTTGATAATGTAGGCTAATATGCTTAATTTTGTTGTTTCTTGTGTCTTTGCCTGTTTTTAACATTCACTCAAAGCCTGAAATCTTGAACCAGCCATGTTCTTGCAAAATGCAGTGTACAGCGACTTGGCAGATTCTTACGGGCTTCTGAAGCTTGGGGGCTCTGATTTCCATGGCAGGGGAGGGAAGAGCGAGTCGGAAGTTGGAAGCGTCAATCTCCCTGTAATGGTGCTACACGACTTCCTCAAAGCTGCACGGCCAATCTGGTGTGATGCCATTACGGGCATTCTTCAGATGTATGCTGATGATCCATCTGAAACAAATCTGGCAAGAATTACAAGGTTTTGGAGAATGAGGCAATCGAAAGATAGTATTATTGGAACTGGGGGCAAGGACATGATTGATCATTGCTTATCATTGTGGTTAACAGCTGAAGAGAGGCAGCAGAGTGCGGCCGGGTTTGAGGCCATTAGAGGAAAGCTATCAAGTGTTTCAATCACTTAGTGTTTACTGTGGCCTGCTTTCTTCCTTTGAGGATTCAGCGAGACTTGCAAAAACAACACCAGATAGAGCACAATTTTGTGCGACATTTTGCAGCACTGATGTCTTGCACCAAGTTTGTGTACATGACTGGGTGTCCAATTTAGCTCGGCTGCATTTTTTCCTTATTTCTGAAAAGGCGGTTGCAGAGGAACGATTTCAAGAAAATTGTGTAGGCAAACTTTTCAAAAGCTAGCTTATGCTAGGCGGCTTTGCAAAGAGCATGGTAGATCATAATTGCATAAAAGTCGCTTTGTCTATGAGAATTGAGACATGCAAAAGAGCACTTCTACTATGCTATAAAATATTGGTGTTTTAATGTACAATTTAAAGTTGTACTATAACGTTAAATATTCAAGTTAAGGTTGTACTGTAAAAGAATTTATACCATTATGTTATGGTACAACTTTATAACATAGAGTTGCACCATCACATGAAGGTACAAGTTTAAGTTGTATCATTAAAAAATTGGGTAAATTGCAAGTTTGGTCACTGGGTTTACTAAAAAGGTTCATGTTTGGTCACTAAAAATATTTAATTCCATTCGCGGTCATTAAAATTAGTTAAAAAGTTCAAGTTTGGTAACTCTCCGTCCAACTCCGTTAACTTTAGCTGATGTGGCAGTCAACTCTCAAAGTTGACCGTTAAATATGTGACGTGGCAACTAAAAAATTATAAAACACTAAAATTTAACCTTTTACAATTTCCACCTCATTTTTACAACTATTAAAAAAATTAAAAAAAACCATACCCGCCAACAAACATCCTCCCCTCAGACCTTATGGGCAATACTTGGCTGCTACCCGGGTTGCAGCGCTTTCCTGCATCCAACACACGCTTGGTATATTATTGGTCTGTTTAGTGTTTGTATGTTACTTACTTAATTGCTGTCCTTCATTTTAATTTCCCAGAGTTGCTAATGGTAAGTGACAGAAGTCGTTTATATGGCTAGAGAATTTTTTTAATTTGTCCTGGAATCTTGAATTATTGAGAGTTTAATACAATAATTGAATTAACGTTCTTATTGAGTTGTAACTAGGGTACCGTCCGAATATTGTATATTTCCATACTATCGTGATTAGGGATGGCAAAAATATTCGTAACTTTGGATATCTGTCTGAATCCGGCCTAATTAGGTAGGGTAAAACCCAAATCCGAAAGATTTTTAGTGGGTACAAGTAAAATTCGAACCTCAATATTGTGGAAATGGATGGGTATGGTTTTCTTACTATCCAACCCGAACACGTCCAATTATATACATGCATATGTATTTTATCTAGAAATAATCATTATTTTTTTCTAACATATTTTATATTTAGCATACAAATATAATATTTTCTTGAAATTGTGTTGTTTTAATTACTCCTTTTCATTCTAGTAATTTATTGTTATACTTTTCGTCTTATGTAATGTTAGTATACGTGTGAATGTTAAAATATTGAGTGGAATTAAAAAAAATTATTATCTACTTCATTATTAATCTCGTTAAAAATCAAAATGAAAAAAGCCAACATTTGAGAAACAAAACTATAAAAAAAGAAACCAATGAATGGCCTACACGTGTGTTGGATGCAGGATGGCGCTGCAACCCGGGTAGCAGCCAAGTATTGCCCGACCTTATTCTGCTACCATTCCCAGCGAAAAACTAGAAATTGAATAGGCATCTCAAATCAAAATCACACAAATAAAAGTTACAGTTCTTGCAGCGAATAACTTCCTAAAATTGATTTCAATCCCTTTAATTTGATTCCAAAATGAACGCCCTGGTCCGAAGGCTACCTTCAATTTGGGAGATGTCGGCATGAGGCAACCTCTGCCGCAGATGTTGGATCGTACGGGTGAGAGAAGCCGCATTCCAATCCAATTCTCGAGCATAGCTCTGCTGCTCTTCCATGAACAGACTCGGGATGTCGTCAGCTTCGACGCCGTGAACGCTTCCTTGACCACCTACCACGTCTGTCGCTCATGCTAGTAGTCCCGCCGTAGCCTCCGCCTCTCGAAGTCGACTCCGCTCTGCGATGAACTACTATCGTGGCATCTGCTGATGCTAGTGGTGGAGCCAAAATTGCGGTCGAACCTAGTCGAGCTCAGGACAAGAAGAAATAGGGGCGGGTTTTGGGATTTTTTTTTAACAGAGAGAAGAGCTCGTTCATGGTGAAGTGCGGCGATGAGATCTTGAGAAGGCTCATTTCTTGTGGTGGGCGAGGAGTTTGTAGTCGTAGTCGGAGAACCGGGGAGCCGAATCCCGCAGAGGGGTTGGCGGAGGACGAGATTGGGGAGAAACGGTAAGCGGCGGTGGGCGGCGGCTCTGGCGATGCTTTCCTGAGATTTGAAGGGTGAAGGGTTTATTATTAATAATTTTTTACCGGAGAAGGGTTTCAGATGCAAGTGGGTTGAGGACAGAATTAAAATTTAATTATAAATGTATTTTATTTATTTTAAATTATTTTATTAATGATGTGGAAATTGTAAAAGATTAATTTTTAATTTTTTATAATTTTTTAATTTCCACGTCACGCATTTAACGGTCAACTATGAGAGTTGACTGCCACATCAGCTAAAGTTAACGGAGTTGGACGGAGAGTGACCAAATTTGAAATGTTTAACTAATTTTAGTGAGCACGAATGGAATTAAATATTTTTAGTGACCAAAGCTGAATCTTTTTCATAAACCCAATGACCAAACTTGCAATTTACCCTTAAAAAATTTGTACAAAAGAGTACAAGTACAATATGAAGTTGTACCATAACGTTAAAGGTACAACTTCAAGTTGTACCATAAAGGCAAAAAGCTATAGCACCAATGCTATATAGCAACGTTGTCATAACCGAATCGGAGTATGACCCGATAATGTGAACGATTCGTACTTTAGTAGTCCAACCAGTATTGGACTATTAAAAAATGTTAGAGAACCGATATCATATAAACAACAATATCATAACTATAAGATGCATAATGTATCAATTTAAAAATTTAATGACTGTTAGCAAAAAACATGTCTCTCTCCTCTCTCTCTCTCTAACGGCAATTTCCTCTGAACCGAATAACGGCTCTTTTTCCGTCCCCGTCGTTGGGACTTCTCCAGCTCGATCTGTGAGCGCCATTTACAGCCCCCAACCACCTAGCAAAGATTGCAGGGATCTTGTGGAAAAGAAAGATGGAGGAAGGCGGAGCAAATCACCAACAGGAGATGCCCACATGGAGATTGGACAAGGCAGGGGAAGAGCTGCAAAAGAAAGAAAGGAAAATGGGATATGGAAACCACCAGACAATTCATTATCAGTCTTCAAATGTCAGAGAGGGAAGGCAAGAAGAGGAGTACGAGGGAACAGAGGAGCTAAGGGGTGCTATCCAGGAACATACAAAAGCAATAAATGGAAGAGAGAAGAGTACCTTGAGCCAAGTGCAACTGGAACAGAGCAAGGTGCAGCCGAGACAGAGATGGAAAAGCAGAACAGGGGAAGAATATGTCAACAGAGGGATAATGAAAGCTTTGACAAGATACACAACCACCACCAACTTGGAGAGAGTAAAATCTACCCTCAAGAAGAAGGATTTGAAGAGGGTGAGAGGGGAAGGAGAAGTGTACCTGTCAAAAAGAGAGATCCCATAACAAAAGCTGGTTGCCAATATACAAACCTTCGGTTTTCCCCTGCAAACAGCAAAAACTCAGAAGCCCAAATTAACTTCCACACAAACACCATGGAAATCAGCAATAGCAAAGCTACAAGCAGAGCTAGAGAGAAGTTTGGAACCACCTTGCCATCCCCAAGAAACAGAGGCGATCGGCCAATTCTTTCATCCAACGGAGGCAGAGGCATCTCAATGATGCTGGGGAAGATGCTCACCGAGAACAGAGTTGCTCTGGCCAAGGCGGCAGGGGCAGCACGCTACGCTTGGGGAGGATATGGTGAGGTTAACGTTCAACCAACAGAGACCCAGAACCTATTCATTTTCACCTTCAACAATGAGGCTATTAGGGAGAAGATATGGAGGGACCGACCATGGAGGCTATCTAATACGCTAACGGCTATCGAAAAATACAACGGAAGAGGCAAGCCAGAAGAAACTCCCATCGAGAAGGTTGCCATGTGGGTGCAGATTCATGGTATTCACCAAAATCAGAGGAGCGAGGAGAACATGGTGGCGATTGGCACTCACTACTTCCCAGGGATGCTCGACCTGGATAGAGCGAGCTTGGAATTTACAGGATACAGGAAGTTTCTGAGGATTCTGGTGGAGGTCAACATTGAAGAACCAATTCCGACCGGTTTTGACTTCCCATTCACTGACGAAATCACGGGGAAGTATTACTGCGATGTAATCGATTTCAAGTACGAGAGGTTGGTGGAATTGTGCTATTTCTGTGGAAGAGTAGGCCACAACTGGCCGACTTGCTGGAGGATGAACGAAGAAAGGAAGAGGAATGGAGTGGCTTACCTGTCGGAGGTGTACAATTCCTCTCTCAAGGTGGGAATTGATTCTCCTCATAGGCACCATTCGGCCAACTACAGAAGCAGCAGGGAGGGGGAAGGCTCAAGAAGCTATCTGGGAGGAAGAGGAAGCGCGAGGTCGGGAAGCCAGAGCAGATCGGATGGGTAGAGGGAGGACAATCGTCGGGATCGGTAGGCAGGCTCTATAAAGGGAATCTTCAAATCCCTCCAGGCTTTACGGTGAGAAGGCTAGAGGAGGAGGTTTAGGGAGAGGAATAGCAAATCGCATAGGGGAGATGGAGAGGGAGGTACATGGAAGAGATGGGGGCGACGAATTTGAACGTGGAGATGGATAGGGAGGCGGCGGCGATGGAAGCAGGGCTTCGATTGGAAGAAGGGAGGAGCGTTCAGATTTTGGGGCGGAGCTCAGTGGAGGTGGAGACCGAGTTGTCTCTCGGGCCGACCCAGGCAATTACCCCTGCCCCCCTATCGGGCCAAGAAGGCCCATATGCAATAGATGAGTATCAGCATGTGCAAGATGAAAGGGAAGGGGAGTTGGGCTGAAAGCAAAAGAAAAGAAAGGATATGGGCCTAGTGTGTGGCAACAGGCCCAGCGCCGAATTAAAGGAGGATGGAGCTTTGTTTGTTGGGCCAGATGGGGTCTTTGAAATGGGTGGGACGGGGGAAGTCCACAAAAGAAAGAATCTGATGTGTAAGCCCGTGAGCCAGAATATCGACAAAGGGAATCAGTCAGAAAGCGAGCAAGAGGGCCGAGGAAAGAATAAAAAGGCAGCGGTGGTTCGCCAGAAGCCACCTTGTCAGGAATGAGTATGGTAAGCTGGAATTGTAGGGGTTTTGGCCAAACCCTTGCAAGGAGTTATGCAAAACGTCTATGTAGACGTTTTGGCCCTTCGATTGTTTTCCTCATGGAAACGAGCAAAAACGAAGCATTCATGGAGGAGCAAAGAAGAAGTCTCAAAATTTTCCCCAACAAAGAGTATGTGGAACCGGTTAACTCTTCAAGGGGCTTTGCGCTTTGATGGAAAGCGGGTATTAGCATTAATGTTTTAAGTAGTGATAGTTATTATATGGATTGTAGTATCGATATGGGTCGGAAGTTCTTCTGTACTTTTGTTCATGCACCCTCTACCGTTGTGAGTAGAAGGGGATTTTGGGAGCATCTAAGCTCTCTTCGGAGTAGTAGGGAGGATAACTGGGTTATTGTAGGAGACTTCAATGCTGCTATCTATGAAAGTGAGAAGGAGGGGAGATGCCCTCTTAGGTACGAGAATGTTGAACCTTTTGAAAGGTTTATTTTCGACAATGCTCTGATTGATCTAGGGTTTAAAGGAGAACCCTTTACTTGGACCAATAAGCGTACCGGGGAAAATACTACGAGAGTCCGACTTGATCGAGGGTTGTGCTCGACTTCATGGCGTGTCCTATTCGGGGATGCAACTGTTTTCCATGAAAAGATGGTTGAGTCGGATCATTGCCCAATCAGGCTGGAACTCTGTTATAGAGGGAATAGTAGAAGAAAGACACCCTTCAGAGTAGATGAAAGATGGTTGGAGAAGGAAGAATGCAAGGAGATAGTGGTCATAGCTTGGGATCCAGGAGGGCAAACGTCCAACCAGCTGGCCAAATGCGAACAAGAGCTGAAGGAGTGGTCAAAAGACTTTCACAGGAACAACCTACAAAGGGAGAAGGACATATTGGATCTACTAGATATTCTCCAACGGCCTCCAAGAACCCAGGAAAGGGTGGAGGAAGAAAAAAGTCTCATTGAGGAACTGTCTAAGATGTGGAGGGAAGAGGAGGCTTTCTGGATTCAATGCTCAAGAGTTAAGTGGCTGCAGAAAGGTGACCAGAATAACTCCTTTTTTCATTCCAGCATGATACATAGAAAGCATAAGAATAGAATTCTTAGACTTAAGGACGAGAGAGGCTAATGGGTCGAGGAAGAAGATAGGCTGAAAGGGTTAGCCCAGGATTTCCACAAAGACCTCTTTAGAGCTAGAGACCAGATTCCCTATAACCATCTGCTGGATGGATTCCCAGAAAAGGTTACAGAGGAGATGAACACTGCTTTGTGTGCCCCAGTTTCAAATGAGGAAATTAGGAAAGCAGTTTTCTCATTAGGAGCAAAAAAGGCTCCTGGGCCGGATGGTTTCATGGGTAGATTCTACCGAAGATTCTGGGATATTATTGGGGAAACGGTGTGTAGAGAGGTTAAGGAGTTTTTTGAGACAAGTGCGATGCCGAATGGATGGAATGATACACATATTGTCATGATCCCCAAAGTGGACCATCCAGAATTGATAAGCCAGTTTCGACCTATCAGTTGTTGCAATTTTAGATATAAAATTATATCAAAGATTATGGCAACCCGATTGAAGATCTGGACGTCGGACCTGATCTCAGAGCTTCAGACAACTTTCACAGGAGGCCGACTTATCCAAGACAATGTCATTATTGTCCATGAGGCCCTTCATCACTTCAAAAACCACAAGCGGGGAAGGAGAAGGGGCATGATGCTTAAGCTGGACATGAAGAAGGCATATGATATGGTAGACTGGGACTGTCTCGAAAATCTGCTGAAGAATTATGGGTTTGATGACAGATGGTGTAGATGGGTAAGCTCTTGCATCAGGACGGTCAACTTCTCCATCCTCTTCAATGGTGAAGCAGCAAAAGAGTTCAAACCGTTGAGGTGAATTAGACAGGGAGACCCTCTCTCTCCTTTCCTTTTCATTTTGATGTCTAATGCTCTTACTTTTTTGATTGATAAAGCGGTTTCCCAAAATCAGTTAAAAGGAATTAGGCTGAACGCGAGATGCCCGATTCTCACTCATTTCCTGTTTGCGGATGATATAGTGATCTTCGGAAAGGCTGATATACAAGAAGCAGAGAAAATTCTGGATATAATAAGAGAGTATGGAGCCATCACGGGACAAGAAGTGAATATCAACAAATCATCTGTGTTCTTCAGTGCTAATGTACCCGATGTGGACAAAGGGGCGATCATTGGTCAAATCGGGTTCAACTCTTCTAACTGCCACTCCAAGTACTTAGGAGTACCGACAGAATGGGGGAATTCAAAAAAGGAAACTTTCCAATTCCTGATCCAGAGAATGGAGAAGATGGGTGAAGCATGGAAAAGCCTCCTCCTTTCTCATGGTGGGAAAGAAGTTTTGCTTAAAGCTGTCATCCAAGCCATTCCTTCCTACATCATGTACCTTTTTAACCTCCCGGTGAATCTTACCAAGAAGATGGATTCCCTCCTCACCAACTTTTTCTGGTCAGGGTTAATGCAGAAAAGCACAATGCACTGGTGTAGGAAGGAAATCCTCTGTGCTCCAAAAGCAGAGGGGGGATTGGGGTTCAGAAGCTTCAAAGATTTTAACACGGCTTTGCTAGCAAAACAAGCGAGGAGAATCCTTAATTCCCCTGATGCCTTGTGGTGTCGGCTTCTGAAGGGTCTGTATTTCCCGACAGATGGATTCATGCAATCAAAAAAAGGGAGGACATCCTCTTGGATTTGGGAAAGTCTGTGGGAAGCAAAAAAAGGTTATCAGCATGGGAGCAATTAGAGTCATCGGTTCAGGAGAGGATACTTGGATTGGTCAAAGATCCATGGATTCCGAACTTGCAAAATTTTATCATCGGAAGCGGCCCCCAACAGAACCTGAGGGTAAAGGAATGGATTGACCCAGTTAGCAGGAGCTGGAACACGGAGCTGCTCCAAGGTCATGTGACGAGAGAAGAAGTGGAGGCTATTCTCAAAATCCCAATTGGGGAGGAAGGGTCTGATGATTTATGGGCTTGGAGTCTCACCCGTGAGGGAGAGTTCTCAGTCAAGACAGCCTACCACGCTATTCATAAAGCCAACACAAACTTCCAGGTGACAGGAAGTGAAGAGAAGTGGAAATGGATTTGGGGACTGAATGTTCCACCTAAGCTTAAATTCTTTCTATGGAGATGCTCCAGGAACGGGTTGGCAACGAAAGAAAGACTCTTCCAACGAAAATGTGCTCCTAATCCGAATTGCCAAGTGTGCCATAACCCTATCGAGTCCCTTAATCACTGCCTTTTCTACTGCCCTCATGCCAGTGATTCGTGGAATAGTACCTTCCCATCCCTTCCTTTTCCTCCTCAGGGCACTTCCTTTTTCGATTGGTTCTGCTCCCTCAAAGATACCATCCCGCATAACTCCCTCATTCATATTATCTACCTTTGTTGGAACATCTGGAAGGCAAGGAACGAGAGCACCTTCAAGAATCGGGCACCCTGGCCCCCAAACGTGTGTCTGCAAACCTATAGGGAGCTTACATAATGGATTGCTTGCCCGAGGCCCCCACCTCAAGGTTCTGATTGTCCCACTCAGCTCAGGGGATCCCATCGTACTACGAATCAACCGCCAGGTAATCACTCGATAGTGATTCAATGTGATGGGTCGTTTTTTAGCGACCCCCAGTCGGCGGCATATGGTGTTGTTGTTGTTAACCACCATGGACAAGTGTGTGATGGGAGAGCTGAAAATCTTCTGTGTTCCACCCCGATTGAAGCGGAAGCAAAGGCTCTTTTGGAAGGAATTAAATTAGCACAAGAATATGGATCGGTGTGTACAGTTCAATCTGACTGTCAGTTGCTGGTAAAGGCCCTGAACCAAAATCAGTCTCGATGGCCCTGGAGATGTGCAGCATGGATTGGAACAATGGTCAATATCCTTAGAACTAACCCAGCTATTTCGGTGAAAGAGGTTCCGAGGGCTTCGAACGTCAGAGCTGATTGGGTAGCAAGATCAAAAGCTAAATCAATTCTACCAGAAGACTGGATTAATATTCTTGATCTAATTTCTATTCTCCTCTAAAATTGTAATGGCTTATGAGTGTTTCGTTCGTTTGGTGGAATAAAAGTTGATACTATTTGTCAACAAAAAAAAAATTAATGACTAAAATAAAATTTACTTTACAGGTACCATTTAGTAATTTTACATTATATATTAACAATTAAAACCCTACACCCATCTCATTCCCCACACAGCGGCAGCGCCGCTCAACTCCCTCCCCTTCTATGTTTCAATTTCTTCCTCTTTTATCAAACAAATCTTCCTCCCTCAAAAACCATAAACACCATTGATCAACCTTCTGTTTTATACTATATTTTTCATTTTCTTCCTCTCTGATTCACCATAAAGTAATTGACGAGCTGGGTTCTCGTTGGGTTGTTCTCGCTAAGCGGAGGTTTCAGATTGACGAGCGGGGAGCGGCTACACCGCGATAGGGAGTGGCGACGGAGAACGGCAAAGGGGAGTACTGGCGACGGCAAGCCCGACGTTTTGGGTTTTCAGTTTTTGATTTTCTAATTTTTTTTAATTAACCAAACGGTAAAGTGAAAAACCGGACGATCGGCTCAAACGGCTCGAGCACCACCTCGAATGCTCGCAAACCTCTCGAAAAACCTGTTCCGGCTAATTGCCTGTGCTGAGCCGGTTTGATGATTGAGTGACGATTTTTCAGGTCGACCGGCTCGACTCGACTTTAATAACACTGCTATATAGC